TACATTAATAAGTATAACTCTTTAAATCTGTTTTGTACAGTATATCTGTTTTAGGCAATGCAATCTCATGGCAATTCGTAACTTTTAGATTTAGTGTATAGTTTGTATGAATTTGTACAATCTAATTTGTACAGTTTATTACAATTTGCTAATCACCCAATGACGGTTGGGGTTAGGGGTGGTGTTGGGTGCCATGCCTCCTTTTTAAAAGTGTACATTTTCTTTCAACTGAACTCGTACAAATTCGTACGAATTAGCCACTAAACTGACTAAACGGAAAATAGTTACGTTTCTTCGTGAGATCAGGCTGGTTTTAGGAGCTAGTTCATTTTCAATGTTTAGAAAGCAGCAAAACACAAGCAGTTTTATTCACAGCTGAGAGTGTTCATGCACTCTAAACCTTTTAACTTTCATAACAATTGTACTTTTTATGTTTTATTTAATTTTTTGATATTAATATTTAATCTTTTTGTAAGCGACAGCCTTAAAAACACATATACTTTTCCCATGCCTTCTTCACCTCATGGGGCTTTGGTGACATCCAGCTGTAATGTAGCCAGTTTATTTATGACCATAAACATTTGTTTATATATATATATTTATATAGGTTGCGACCCAGGCTCATTCTGGAAACGTAGCCCCGCGGACGTTTCTGGAGACTGCGAAATACATCCCGAGGGAGGTACATATTTGTGCAGTTTTTGTTTTTGCGAAACCGCGAGAGGCCGCTGTGCGCACTTTTTCTCATCTCGAGCGGCTCTCGCGAGCGCCGTTTGTACCATTTGCGCCTGCGCTGTTCTTGCTTAAAGCAGCTGGAGGCCGCTGTCGAGGGACCGTCTGTCCGACTGACTGAATAACTAAATGATTGACTGGGCAAACGGCCAATCGGCCGACCCACCCTCCTCTTCCTCCTCCTTCCCTAAACCCAACCGGTTTACCCATTGTCCCACTCACCCGCTTCCCTAAGCATTCCCCAAGCAATGATTTACAAAAGCTGTCCAGAAAAAAAAAAGCCATCGTCTGATTTTGACCGCGTTTTCATATTTCACCATATTCTTTCCCTGTTATGAACTCGTTCACTTAATTTTTTGGATTCTGTTTTTTGTCTTACCTGATTTCTGGAACCGCTCGTCCCCTGACTCAAACCCAGTCGTCACCATCACAGGCTTCCCTCCGGGTCTCCGCTCCACTGACAAACACAACGAGCTAACCGGACGAACTGGTTGTGGTGGGAAAGCCCTCCACATGGAGGTGAACTGTCAACCGGCGAGCGCGAAGAGGAGCGGCGTCACACCGCTCCATATCGTTTGCTTAAAAAAATGAAATGCAGTAATAACGTACCTCCGGCCATGTAAATCACGGTCTCCAGAAACGACCGTGGGACTACGTTTTTAGAATGAGCTTGGGTTGATATATAGAGTTGAAGTCAGAATTATTAGACCGCCTTTGAATTATTATTATTTTTGTTTATTTCCCAAATTATGTTTAACAGAGCAAGAAAAGTTTCACAGTATGTCTGGTAATATTTTTTTTTTCTTCTGGAGAAAGTCTTATTTGTTTTATTTCAGCTAGAATAAAAGCAGTTTTTAATTTTTTAAACACTATTTTAAGGACAAAATTATTAGCCTCATCCACAGAACAAACCATAGTTATACAATAACTTGCCTAACTACTCTAACCTGCCTATAGTTAACCTAATTAACCTAGTTAAGCCTTTAAATGTCACTTTTAGCTGTATAGAAGTGTCTATACACCAGAAGTGTTCTGCAATACATTAAAAACACAGGTACATAGGTACATTGTATTTAGTTTTTGCAATACATAGTACTACATAGTAGTTAAGGGCACTTAATATAAAGTGGGACCATATTTTTTTTCTCAGACATTTATCTTTTGAATTTTTTCTTTACCTGTATTTTTAAACATGGTTATTATTTTTTTATGGTCATCATTTTTTTTAATGCTGAAAAGCAAGATATTTGATTTAACCTATAGTACACTAACTTACAGTATGAACATCATTCTCAGGTAAAGGACCAGAGACATTGTATGCTGGCCAGAAAGTCAATGACAATGACTGGCACTCTGTCAGAGTTACGCGGCGTGGTAAAAACATCAAACTTATGGTGGATGATGATGTAGCTGAAGGTATGCATGCAGCATAGTCTTTACAAAACAAATCAGTATCTGCCCTTATAATAGATGAATCCAGAACTTATCACTTTACCAAGTCTTTTCATTCACAGGTCAGATGAATGGTGATCACACTCGGCTAGAGTTTAGCAATGTTGAGACTGGAATCCTGACGGAACGGCGATTTGCCTCCACGGCTCCGTCTAACTTCATTGGTCACCTGCAAGGCCTGAAGTTTAATGGCCTCCTCTACATCGACATGTGCAAGAACGGAGACATCGAATTTTGCGAGCTCAATGCTCGTTTTGGGATGCGCTCCATCGTGGCTGACCCTGTTACCTTCAAGACTAAAGGAAGCTATCTGGGACTTGCTACACTCCAGGCGTATAGCACAATGCACCTCTTCTTTCAGTTTAAAACCACCTCTGGTGATGGATTCATTCTCTTTAACAGTGGAGATGGGAATGATTTTATTGCCGTGGAGCTTGTCAAAGGGTGAGTGGACGTTGAGAATTCAAAGCAAAGTTTGCTAGATAAATAATAAGAGTTTTGTTTTCAAAAAAATGTCTAATAAGGGTCCAAACATAGTCGTCTTGGCTAAAACAAGGCTAAATTTGAGCTGTCAGTGAAAATCTAATAGACGTCTAAGAATAAGCCAAAACCAGACTAGTCTTCAATAGGATTTGCCAGGATTACCAAACTTCTAGACCTTCAGGTACTGTATAGAGAATCTGATTTACTCCAAAAAATAAAAATAAATAAATAAATATCTTCCCCACAATGGTATTTTCTGGTATTCTAAACGGTTTATTCAATGAGTATGAAGGCAAATAGTCATTGCACTACACACATGTCAAAATAAATGAGGTGAGGCATTGTGGAAAATAACACAGCAGCAATAGCAGTCATTAGATTCAGTGAAGCTGACTCTACACTATACAGTATGTGCAGACAGCGTGAGAGAGGAGAGAGTACTGCATATCGAATTAGATGTGTTTTCTTGCAGATACACTCTTTTTCATGTCATCAGATTCAAGCACAGATGCTGACAAGCTGTACACAAAAAGATGCTTACATTTGTATTTTCTGCTTGGATACAAGTCTGGTGGCAGTGTTTTTATCTTAGTGTTGGCACCCTGGTGGATCAGTTCTGAACAGCTAGTCATTGATATTTTGCTTCACAGTAAACAATCAAACCTTTTAAGTCTGTTCCCCAAATGTGCCCATTAGGTGGCAATAGTGTGTCTCTTATATTAGTACTATTACTGTGTTTTCTCCATTGTTTTAAGTGTTGCCATTTTCATATCCATACTGAAAAAAACAGCTTAAACCAGCCTTGGCTGGTTGGCTGGTCAACCAGGCTGGATTTAGAGGGTTTTTAGCCACTTCCAGGCTGGTTTCCAGTCATTTCCAGCCTGGTATTAGCTGGTCAGGCTGGGAGATGCCTAGCCAGGTTAGCCAGGTTAGGAGCCCAGCCAAAACCAGGTATGTCCAGCTTGAACCAGGCTGGTCAAGCTCGTTTTAGCTGGTTTTAGCTAAAACCAGGCTGGGAAAGGCTGGAAACCTGCCTGAAAATGGCCAAAACCCCTCTAAAACCAGGCTGGTTGACCAGCTAAAACCAGCCATCCAGCTTAGGCTGGTTTAAGCTGTTTTGAATATATATGTTTTAAGTGATATGAAAATGGCAACACTTGGAGAAAACACAATGGAGAAAACAGAGTAATAGTACTCATTTAGATCACACCTTATTTTGATGGTCTGTTTGTAAAATTTAAGTTCCATATAAGCCCACTAGTTCTCATTTGATTATACTGTAGGTAGACTCTTAGGGTTGGGGTAAGGGTAAGTGTAAGCTGACATGTACTTGCAAAGTTTCTTATAGTCAGTTGAATGTCGGTTGAAGAAGCAGTATCAACAGATATTAAGAAAACAGTCTACTAATACTGAAGTGTACCATCAAAATGAAGTGATACTTAAAATTTAAAACAGATGTAAAATTGATTTCGCATTTCCTCTGGAAGGTAGTGGGATACAAGACATTGATTATGCAGAAATTGTGTTTTCACTAAGCTCAGATGTATCCCTCCACAGGCTCGTGTGCATGAACAAACCTTTAATTATTTAGCTTCCGGAGGTGTATGACATGTAGAATCCCAATCAATCAATCAATCAATCAATCAATCAATCAATCAATCAATCAATCAATCAATCAATCAATCAATCAATCAATCAATCAATGAAAATCCCCTACTTGGTCGATCTCAGTTTAAATTTTACTAGAAAGCATTGCTAGATGTATTTAGGTATTCAGCATGGGCATTGCTAGGCCTATTTTAAGGCTATGGCTGTAGCCCCCCTTTATTTCTACTCAGCCCCCCTAAAACTTTTAGGATTAGCTCATAAACTGTACACTAAATTATCTAAATTACTAAATTAAAAAATACTTCTTATTTATTATTATCATTCAGATCGTAAAATATGTGAATTAGCCTGTAAGTTTACAAATATATATATTTATATGTGAGTCATTTAATTAGAAAAGTAGCAGTTTAATTATTTAATACATGGAAACAAAATGCACTTGAATATAGAAAGTGTTTTTTACTACAGTAAACAGGTGGGTTGATTATATTTGGCTTAGTTAGAACTCAATGGCTATGCCAGTCA